GCTCGGATGCCAATAAAAAGGTGCGAGATAATAAAAAAATCCAGTTCGTGTTTGAAATCCAGCGGCCAGCGTATGTATTTAAGATACAGTATGCGCGGCTCAGCTTTTTGGACGCGAAAATTGTTCAGACATTGGTTATTTCCGCAGTGCCACACTCAATATTCTGGACGCGCCCTGTGATCTTTAGGGCCGGTCGAGTGGCCTCATCGCTGTTACTGCGCAGTGGGCCCTTGCAGCCACGTTCCTCGAGCTGCCCCTGCGGACGCCCGATGGCAAAAGGGCCGCAGCCGAGCCAAGTCCCGGCCCGCGGATAGCGGTATTCGTGGGGTAGGAGGGAAGCACTGACTGCGTGTGACGGTGGCGACAAAGTCCGAGAAAAGAACAAGCCTACATCATGAAGGCGTTGTAATTGAGTTCATTGAATCGAAACCGACCTACACGGGTCTGTTTCATGTTTGCACATTTCGTTTCAGCCCCGAATGTGGCTGATGTAGGGTCGCTGATGGTTAGCGGGGTGGATATTCAGACGAGGTCTGCCTGACTCCGATCACGCACGGTGGTGCTGCAGAGATGCGCTGATATTTGGGAAGTGCTCTGTACCGTTGTTCGTTGGAGTTTCGTTGGTTTGGAACGGGCGCTCACTTTGCACATGGAGCTCTAATTACCGCTCGTTGGAAGCTCGCGAGCATGTGTTGTGATGTCCTGCTTATGGTCGCGAAAACGGGCTTCAGAGATTCTTTCTTGTGGTTGGTTCCCTGTGAATTCCGGGGGGGGGGGGGGGGGGGAGGTACCCCTGCGGCAAGAAGATGGTCTGCTCAGTTGTCGAAATGAATGGGACAGCATCGTTTCGTGTGGCAGCAAGGCTGTTGAAACAACCGTCCAGCAGAATTCAGCCAATGTTTTGTGGGTATATAACAAGTTTGTCGCCACCAGTGTTGAGCACGTACGTTTCGCAAGCACCACAACCAACGGACCCGCCGAAGGCCACGAACGCCCATAATCAACATGCCGCCCCGCACCCACTTTCAAACCATTGCTACTTGTAGGCGCCCATAGATCTGCAAAAGTACAAAGGCAACCATTGCTTCATCGGTTCCTCGTCGAATATCGCGGTGCCAGTTTCCAGGTGAGTTTGTATTGGCACACGTTCGGTCGAAGATTCATGCGACCGCAGCAATCGGAAACGCAGCGTCAAAATCAGCACCCACCACAATGGAGATTAAAGTTATTGTGCATGCATTTCCCCATGCAGCCTAGCCTCACACTGGAATCAACCACTCATCATTCCTGAAGTAGCATCCTTGGTGTTGACGTGTCGCTTCTAGACTCACATGGGATGGTGTGGCTCATGTCGGCTTTGGATGTTGGGCAGCATCAAGCAAAATTTTGAGTTTGATTGGAGGAAGCCTATCTTTTCCACACAGCATCTCGAGGTTTCGCCAAACCACCAACTCGCTTTGTTATGCCCTTGCTTAAGTGCGCTGAGGTATGGATATGGGTGTTTGCCCTTCCACGCGTCAAGGCGTTGTGCCCAGAGATGTGTATGACAAGCACCGGGCAACAATGGCCATGCAGCCCTTCGTTTGCAACACGTTGTGTTGCCAAAGCTTTTCAAGTAGGCGACGCTATTGCTATTGTTGTTTGTGCACCACCGCCTTGAAGCTGCGATTTTCTAAGGATTCTACAACAATGGATGTGAGGTTGGCATGAACAATAACCCGAACCGAAGCTCTGCAGATGACTTGCACATCGCAGTCATTGGACCCTACAGCGGCAACATCGGTGATATCATGACCTCTGCCGAGCCCCTCTTGGCAATTGCCGCGCAGGAAATCGAAGACAGTGACATCCTCCCAGGCTATCGTATACATGCGCATTTAGCGGATTCCGGATGTTCGGAAGCGGGTGGAACATCAGCAGCAATAGCGTCGTTGATACGCGGACCGAAGAAGCATGCCATCCTCGGGGATTGCTGCAGTCAGTCCTGTGCGGCGATTAATGATGCCATGCAGTTGTTCAATGTCTTGCAAATTTCCCCAGGATGTGATTCGCCCAGTCTCAGCGATCGAGAACGATTCCCATATTTCACCCGAATGAGCCCGTCGGATCGTTACAAGGTCATCGCCATCTATGAAGTCATGAAGATGCTAAATGTCCAGCGGGTGAGCACCATAAGTGGCCCAATCTATACGGAAGGCGCCAAAGCCTTTTTCCACGAATTGATAAAGCGGGATTTGGAGAATGGCACGTATCCGTGGACCATCTTAGCAGATACTTCCATCGGATTCGGCAGCATGGAGGATTATGTCATGGTTGCAGATACCTTGAAGAAGAGGGATTCCCGAATCAACATGATGGCCTTGCCAGAGTTTCTGCGGCGTTCTTCATCAGGTTCTTTGAATTTTGTTGCCAAGCTCAAAGTTTCTTCAAGTGTGC